TTTTATATATATAATATATATAATTTTATATATAAAGATTGGCTAATGCTGTCAAAGTGAAATGAAATCTGAGTTTTCTACTAATAACAGTACCCTTTTGTTTCATTAGAAATGCACTAGCTGAGATAATTTTCTGTTAGGTAAATTTTGAATGTGTAATTTATTTGCAGTATTTGTGAAAGCTATGGGTCTCAGCTATTTAAAATGTGCCTATACAATATCAGCATTTGATAAAAGCTGTTTTTTGCTTCTGTGTTCCACACCTATTGTCTCAATCTAAAACTGATTTAAATAATTCATCTAACTACTTAATTAGAATTATATAATATTAAAAAGAGTAAAGATAGGTTTTGTGAATCATTAGCTATTAATCAGAAAATTCTCTTCCTTTCATTAGATCTTATTTAATCACACTGCTATGCTAATATCCTTAGTGTCCACGGTATGTATGAGCTCTTTTATATTCTACTTTTAGAAAGTATTCACATGGATTTTGTTTTAGACAACACAGCTGTCATTTTGACTAACAGAACTGGCTTCAGCCTGCAAGAAGAACCTGTCTTCTATGTGTCTATTTTAATTGCCGACAATGGAATCCCATCACTTACGAGCACAAACACCCTTACCATCTACGTCTGTGCCTGTGATGAGACCGGTAGCACACAGACCTGCAGTAACAGGGAGTATATGCTTTCAATGGGGTTCAGGACGGAAGTCATCATTGCTGTACTGATCTGCGTTATGGTAATATTTGGTAAGTGGTGCTCACTAGCACATCTTTCCATTCATTTGAAATAAGATGATGTATATATAAAAATTGTTGCTGTTGTTAAATGCCATTGAGTCACTTCTGACCCATAGTGACTGTTACCGGGTTTTGAGGAGCAGCTGGTGAACTTGAACCACTGACCTTGAGGTTCAAACCTACTTTGCAATCCAGTGCATTAACGCACAGTGCTACAACAGGACTCCATATATAAAAATACTTCATTCCAAAAGAAGATTAGTGGATATCTGTGTTTAACTGCTCTTCTGAATGTGTTACAATTATGAAAGCAAATGTACTAAGTGAAAAATGTTGTTTTTAAAATGCATAGTGACCCTGTATAGGGTTTTCAAGGAGTGGCTGTTGAGGTTGAACTCTGACCATGTTGTTCAAACTAAACATGAAGTCCGGTGCTTTATCCTACAGCACCCCACCAGGACTCCATCTGTAACCTGCTTTTACTAGGTTCTATTCAGTTGGTACCCTTTACAGCGTTGCTATGAGTCAAAACTGACTCGATGGCACTTAACAACGACATTTCAAAATATTAAAATGTAAGTTAAATGTAAAACAGCACATATTTATTTTTTTATGATAATAAATATTATTTTTATGAAATGCCGAGTCTGTTCTGACTCATAGTAGCCCTGTATAGGGTTTCCTAAGCTTTTTGAGTCTTTGCAGGAGCAGAAAGTTTCATTTTTCTCCTGATAATAAGTATTAAGAACTCATAACTGTTTTAAGCTCCACTTAGGAAATTAGTGGTTACAAATCGGGCTGCGAACCTTAAGGTCAGCGGTTCGACTACCAGCCGCTCCGTGGAAGAAAGATGAGGCTTTCTACTCCCGTAAGGATTTACACCCTCGGAAACCCTGTACAGGGTCGCTATGGGTCGGAACTGACTCGACGGCACTTAACAACAACAACATAAACACGAAGATGGAGTGATAGTTGACTCTCTTTGATACACATAGAATTTTCTTTAAAATACAGACTGTTAAGATTTTTTTTTTATTTTTACACGATATTAAAATTAACTTTATTAATTGTTGATTCAGGCCAAATTAGTATTCTGATTCAAAAACGTATAGTTTGGAATTTCTGAAATTAATATGGTATGACAGAGCATAGGATGTAGTCCAATTATCTAGTTTTGAATCCCGGTTTTCTAAGTCCTAGCTGAGTGGTCCTTGGTATGCTATTTAAGGACCATGTGCCCCATTTCTCTAATCTTTAATAGATTACAATAATGAAAATGGGTATCACAAGGAGCCCTGGTTGTGCAGGGATAAACAATGGGTGTTTCAACCTACTCAGCTGTCCGTGGATGAAAAGACTTGGGGTGATCTGCTACTGTAAAGACCACTGAGACAGTCCTTCTCTGTCCCAGAGGAATCACAATGAGTTCAATTGACGCAATTGCAGATCGCCATAATGGCATCAGACGGATTCAATCCGTGAATAAATGCTCAGTTTTTTGAGCTATGCTCAGCATATACTTTGCAGACAATAAATACTACATTTTAAATGAAACTAGATGTTACATTAAATATTTGGATATGCTTTCTTTGTTAGGGTGTATTTTTTTGATCCTCGGTCTAAAACAAAGAAGAAAACAGACTCTGTTTCCTGAGAAAGGTGAGGATTTCAGAGAGAATATATTCAGGTATGACGACGAAGGGGGCGGAGAAGAGGATACAGAGGCATTTGACATTGCCGAATTGAGGACCAGCACGTTCATGCGCGAACGCAAGAGTAGGCGACAGGTGCCCTCGCAGATCCCGAGCCTATACAGACAGTCTCTGCAGGTGGGCCCCGACAGCGCCATATTCAAGAAATTCATTCTCGAAAAGCTCGAAGAAGCCAACATGGACCCCTGTGCCCCGCCTTTTGATTCTCTCCAGACCTATGCTTTTGAGGGAACGGGGTCCTTAGCTGCATCCCTGAGTTCCCTGGGATCAGAAATCTCTAATCAGGATGAAAACTTTGATTACCTTAATGACTTGGGACCTCGCTTTAAAAGATTAGCTTGCTTGTTTGGTTCTCCAATGCAGTCAAATAGTTAAGGTCTTATTGTTATGCAAGTATAAAAGATGCTGATGTATGTTGATAAACCTATAAAGGACACAGGAGGGCAACATCTGTCCTTGGTTGTGCATTGATTGATTGACTCTGAAAAAAAGGAAACTAGAAAACAAATAAACAACAAAATAACTCCATAACCTTAGTATTTAGTGTTTGCTGACTTCCTTAGAATAAGTGCCCAAGGTCATTTCAAGCTACCCATGTGCTATCATCGTTGACTGGAGAGTTTGGGAGAGATGTTATTAATAAGGTCTTGGGTGCCACAACCAACTGGCTTTGACATATCACTGAAGAGGTCTGTTAGATTTCTTTCAATACAATTCAATCCATATTCTCAAAAGTTTGGAATTGTTAAGAAGAAAAGTACTGGATTATTCATCTTCATATCATTTCTTTCCTTTGTAACTTAAAATGTAAAGTGCTTACGTGTTTTAAATTCCTGATATTATATAAAGATACTCTGAAGCCCCTGAGAGAATGTGAGTGATTGTATAACACCTTTTAAAAACTATTTTCTGTATATGAGTAAGCTCAGTACTGACAGAGATTTGATGACTCATTGCAGTTTGACATTCTACAGGGATTTCAAATTTGTACAGATAGGGATCCATATTAATTGATCAAAACTACTTTGCATATATATGTATTATTTCTGATATTACAGCTTTGTATAAAAAGGGAACATGCAAATATATTTAAGAAATTTTTATAGATGCTTTTCATACGCAATCAAACATACTTTTGTACTATATCAAAACATAATGAAAGGCAAAATCCCTGTCAACATTCGTCCAGCATGACATTTACACCATTAGAAACTTGTGGAAAGTATTTAAACTAGTTAAGTAAACTTTATTATGACTAAAAATGACATCGACACATGAAATGAGTAGTAGATTGAAGCTTAAATTAATATTCATCTTAAATATTATGATCAATTGCACTGTCTTTTGCCATGCATAAAATAAAGGATGATGTGGTCTCAACGATTCCTTTTTCATAAAGAGCTTAGAAAATGACTGATACTTCAGTGTCATTTTTTATTATGCACTATAAAATTAGGTACAATAGTAAGTTTTATTGCAACATTATGAAAGAAGTAAAAGCTAAGCTGCTGGACATAAAGCTTTATGGTAACATTAGATAATAAGATAATAAAACACTTTAATTTTAATCTACCTTCTTAAAAAAGATCTCTATTTTATGCAAGTCAAAGTGGGATCACAAATTCAAAGTTTGATAAGACAGAAAGTGGTGGTGGTTTTGTGCTTGGTTTATGTGACAATTTCAGACTAATACCATGTGGGGCTAAGCACAAGCAAATTGGCCTTGTATGTTTAAATAAAATATTTCCAATAATTTTGAACTATGGGTAGAGCAGTTGGCTAAGTAAAACATGAATTTTACTTTTCTCTGTACTTTCAAACTTAAATACCCATGCAATATAGCCGAGAAGAGAGTTTCAATAACATGAATCAGGCAATGTTAGGTTGGCAACCCAAATATCACTACACTAAAAAAACTGGAGTAAACCTGGTTTGAAGTATAATGAATTGTGAAATTATTAAATACATGCAGATAATTTGTAAGTGTTTATATCATTACTCACTTAGGAAACAGTTACAACAAAAACAAAACAAAACAAAAAAACCTCAACCAGAGCATCCTTAAATTTTTTTTTTTTTGTTTCAAGTAATACAGAATTATACAAGCTGAGAAAAATTCTGTGATGACAGAATTGTGGGTTATGTGTTGTACTGCTAACCACAAGTTTAGCAGTTTGAATCTGCCAGCTACTTTGCAGGAGAAAGGTGAGGGTCTCTATTACCATAAAAATTTACAGCCTCAGAAGTCTTATGTGGGGTCACTATGAATCAGAACTGATTTCAATGGCACACAGCAGCATCATAATATTACAATTCAGCATTGAAAGCATGCAGTTTTAGATGTTTTTATGAACGATACCATGTTTAAAAATAGTGGTATTTGATTTTCAGGGATTAGATTATAATACATTAAGTAACCCATGGAAAATGAATAAGAAAAGAAGAAATAGTGTCTTCTGGGCAATACAACAGTTTCCTCCATAGATGAAAGCTTATGAACAGCTTGTAAATGTGGATGAACAAGTTATAAGAAAACTGTATTGATCTAACATTTGCCCCGTTGTGAACAATGTTTGTGTCCAGTCCACTAAGCAGATGTATTAAAATAGATTCTGGTTTAGTTAATGCTAAGATTACTATATGATATATAGAAAAATAACATTCATGATTTTATTCACTAACCTAAAATATGTCCCATAAAAATCACCTCCAGAGGTAGGGCTTGATGGTGGCTAGGGTGGAGGTACAGTGACGTTCACTGTCAGCGATACCACAGAATACAAGGCAAAGCAGATCCAGGGCAGAGCTCCAAAATTTGGAACCACATAGATAGAAATATTTAAAAGGTTTGAAAGCTTATAGCTAGGGGAATTTGTAGCAAAAGTAAGAAATCATATACTTTTGAATCTGTTCAGCTCCGTGGTCCAGA